CCCTGTAGGCCCACCCGCCTCGGCCCGCCCGCCCTCGTGGGCGCCGCCGCGAGGCCCAGCGCGGCCTCCAGGGGTCAGGCGAGGCCAGGGCGAGGACAAATTCGGGTGGGGGCCCAGGCATGATCGCGTCGGGAATCGTGGCGCCGCATCTTTTCCAGGGTTACAACCTTATTGCGGTGTCCCCGGCCGGGACTCCCGGCCAACACCGTGCACTGGAAGTACCAGCTAGTGGGTACCGCATGAATCGCGCCAGGCTTACAACTCTCTCACAGTGCCCCGGTCAAGCACCGTGCACTGGAAGTACTAATTAGACCTCAAGACCGCGTCGGCACTCATCCCTAGGGGTGGCAGCTTCGCTGTGGTCATCCTCCCCCAGGAGCCCTCCAACGAGGTATCCCGCTTGCCGCAGATTCCGAGCGAAAAAATTGAGGTATGCTATGCCCTCGTCGGTGCGGCCATGGACCACCTTCAGGTCAATCTTCCCGAAGGACATCCACTTTGTGCCCGTGTGTGATGCCCCAGTGCCTGCGCTGAACGTCAGGCCGTGACCACTGCCAAGCTTTTGATTGTGGACTATGGCCTCTGCCCATTTCCCAGTGATGTTCACGCTCATGAAGTACGTGTCCGCGCAAGCGCCACCCACCTGCCGCGCGTCGGCATCTACGCGAAGGAGTGTCAACAGCGGGCGCGCCCCGAAGGGCACGAGGAGGAGGACGTGGGCCCCAGGCTGCATCACGTCGAAATGCTGCCCTCGCACATTAACCAGATGCGGATCGCCTGACGCGCTCACCCGCGGCAACGCAGTCGGCGCCACTGTCGGCGCCGCCGTGGGCGCGGCGATCGGCGCCGCAGACGGCGCAGCCGTCGGCGAACCAGTCGGGGCTGCAGTCGGCGCAGCTGTCGGCGAACCAGTCGGGGCCCTCGTCGGAGCAGCCGTCGGCGCAGCTGTCGGCGCCGCAGTCGGCGAACCAGTCGGTGCCGCAGTTGGCGCAGCTGTCGGTGCTGCAGTCGGCGCAGCTGTCGGCCAACTGGTCGGTGCCCTCGTTGGTGCAGAAGTCGGCGCAGCTGTCGGCGAACCAGTCGGTGCCATCGTTGGTGCTGCGGTCGGAGCAGCTGTCGGCGCAGATGTCGGCGCCGCAGTCGGAGAGGCAGTTGGTGTCGCAGTAGGTGCAGCTGTCGGCGCCGCTGTAGGCGCGGCTGTCGGCGCAGCAGTTGGAGCAGCTGTCGGCGACGCTGTCGGCGCCATTGTTGGTGCAGCAGTCGGCGCGGCTGTCGGTGAGGCAGTCGGTGCCGCTGTCGGTGCCATTGTCGGCGTCGCTGTCGGTGCCGCTGTCGGCGCAGCGGTCGGCGCAGCTGTCGGCGCAGCTGTCGGCGCGGCTGTCGGTGCCGCTGTCGGTGTCGCAGTCGGCGCGGCTGTCGGCGAAGTGGTCGGTGCGCTCGTTGGTGCCGCAGTTGGCGCAGCTGTCGGCGTCGCCGTCGGTACCGCTGTCGGCGCAGCGGTCGGCGAATCCGTCGGTGCTGCTGTCGGTGCCGCTGTCGGCGCAGCGGTCGGCGAATCCGTCGGTGCCGCTGTCGGTGCCGCTGTCGGCGCAGCTGTGGGCTGCGCAGTCGGAGCGGCTGTCGGTGCCGCAGTCGGTGCGGCCGTCGGTGCCGCAGTCGGCGCAGCTGTCGGCGAACCAGTCGGTGCCATCGTTGGTGCTGCGGTCGGAGCAGCTGTCGGCGCAGATGTCGGGGCCGCAGTCGGAGAGGCAGTTGGTGTCGCAGTAGGTGCAGCTGTCGGCGCCGCTGTAGGCGCGGCTGTCGGCGCAGCAGTTGGAGCAGCTGTCGGCGACGCTGTCGGCGCCATTGTTGGTGCAGCAGTCGGCGCGGCTGTCGGTGAACCAGTTGGGGCAGCTGTCGGCGAGGCAGTCGGTGCCATTGTCGGTGCCGCAGTCGGTGAACCAGTCGGTGCAGCAGTCGGCACAGCTGTCGGCGCTGCTGTGGGCGCCGGTGTCGGCGCGGCTGTCGGTGCCGCTGTCGGCGCAGCTGTCGGCTGCGCAGTCGGCGCGGCTGTCGGTGCCGCAGTCGGTGCCGCTGTCGGCGCAGCGGTCGGCGAATCCGTCGGTGCCGCTGTCGGTGCCGCTGTCGGCGCAGCTGTGGGCTGCGCAGTCGGAGCGGCTGTCGGTGCCGCAGTCGGTGCGGCCGTCGGTGCCGCAGTCGGCGCAGCTGTCGGCGAACCAGTCGGTGCCATCGTTGGTGCTGCGGTCGGAGCAGCTGTCGGCGCAGATGTCGGGGCCGCAGTCGGAGAGGCAGTCGGTCTCGCAGTAGGTGCAGCTGTCGGCGCCACTGTAGGCGCGGCTGTCGGCGCAGCAGTTGGAGCAGCTGTCGGCGACGCTGTCGGCGCCATTGTTGGCGCAGCAGTCGGCGCGGCTGTCGGTGAACCAGTCGGTGCCATCGTTGGTGCTGTGGTCGGAGCAGCAGTCGGCGCAGTTGTCGGGGCCGCAGTCGGAGAGGCAGTCGGTGTCGCAGTAGGTGCAACTGTAGGCGAGGTCGTCGGCACGGCGGTTGGCGCCGCCGTCGGTGTACCGGTCGGCGCGAATGTCGGAGCTGTGGTGGGGGCGTTCGTGTAGCAAGTCTGGCTCAACTCGTCGGCGAAGAATGAAGAAGTCCCGGACATGGCGAAATTGCGGCCCCAAGACTGGACGTACTGGTCGGGCATGTCCGTCATGATCTTGAACGAGACGAAGAACTCGGAGACGTTAAAAAACTCCACCATGAAGCATCGCTTCGCCTGGTCCACGGTCGGGTACGACGCGTCTGGGCAAGTGATATTGGTCAACTGGTTTTGGTCTAGCGGGTTGTCGCAACCATGGCCGAACATCCGCGAGGTTGCCCGGATCGCAAACTTTTCGCCAGAGTTGGAGACAAACTTCCTGGAAGTCCTGCCCGGAATCGATGTCTGGATGGAGGATACTGTGTATGTCAATGGGACCGGGCTTCCACTCATGAGAGTATTGAATTCGAACAAGTCCAAATCAAAATCGATGTCATCGTCGACCGTGAAGACAGCACTGACACCGTCGAGGATTAAGATCTCGTTCTCCCCATCCTTGAAGTGGTCGATGTCACAGAACGTTATCTTTGGCAGGTGTGGCGTCTCAGGGCAGAAGGTATGGTTTCTCACAAACTCCGCTTTGATGTTTACATATTCCCCGATGAGCAGGTTCACAGTTGCCTGCGAGCCAGAAATCTTGTTCCAATTCGTATTCCTGGGGGTATACCGGGACGTATTGACAAACACTATATCGATGCTAACCCCGTTTGCGAGTTTTCCGACTCCATAGTATCTGAGCTCTTTGGGCCTGTGAAAATCAGGACCCAGTCCAGCAAGATTCGAGTGAGATGTCCTCCCCTCGCCATCGTCGTTCGAGCCCCTGAACTCGATCCAGTCCTCACAGACTGCGTTGATGGGCTGGTCGTGTGGGGGGCACTCCTGAGGGCACGCGCAACACATGTGCGAGGAGAAGTCTCCATCGTCATAGTAAGGGTCGAAGCAGATGCCCGAGAATGGCTCTTCAGGGTCGTGCGCATAGGCTTCGCACGAAAGGCCCATCCTGTTCGTAGCACCGTTGTCTGTATCCACGCAGGTAGTCGGCGATGGTGTCGCAACGGGTGTCACTGCTCGCTGATGTCGTGAAGACTGCCAGCCACGAGGCCACCATTCCGCACGCCTCGTCGCGTTCTGGACCTCGTACGACAAGTCACCCATGGAGACCTGCAGCATGGCAACGTCGACGTACCCCGCACGTTCACGCACTTCGAATATGTCCATGCTGGCCCTTGCTGCTCCTAGGGCACACGTAGTAGTAACAGTAGTAGAGACAGAAAGCAGTATTAGCGCTACTGCAGCCTGTCTTGCGCAGCATGTTGCAACACAACGGTAATAAGATGAGATAAGCATACCTGTATTTCAGTACCCGGGTGGTCGAACTGGCCGTTCAACCATCTTGAGCCACAATAGCCACGGACTGCTGGTACCACATTAAGAATACAGCTTTCGGTGGAGCTCCCTATGGACCACGAAACGTGTGAGCGGTGGGCCGAAATGGGGCACGGCCGCAATGCGAACCCTGCCACTGCGGCCTCGGGTCTAGCTCCGTATGGAGCCACGAATCGTGTGAAGGGTGTGCAAGATCTGAAGGTGGTGATGATGATGTTGATGATGGTGATGGTGATGGTGATGATGATGATGATGATGGTGATGATGATGATGATGATGGTGATGATGATGATGATGATGATGATGATGATGATGACGATCACGATGATCATGGTGTCGATGACGATGATGATGATGCTGATGATGATGATAAGAACAGGAAGGAGGAGGTGGGAGAGAAACGCGGGGCACTGTCTCTTCAAAAGAAACACCCAACACCACAGGATGGCTAGAAACAAAATCACAACGGGAAATGTTTGGCCATTTTCAGCCGCTGGGGGCCCTCGCCGGGCCCCGGGACCGCTTGAAAACTACTCAGGATGGAGAACCGGCATCAAAGAAAGGGTCGGGACTTCTATAGGGACCGCGTATTGACAAACATCAAGATGTCGCAACTCTGAATAAGTCAAGAACCTCCGAGATCCGGCGGCTCTGGAGGATGTCTCGGGCGCCGCAGCCTTCTCGGAGCGTTCTGGAACGCTCTGAGAGCGTTCCGGAACGCTCTGGAACGGATGTCGCTATCCGCGTCCTAGCCCCGCCCGACGGGGCAACAAGGGCATCTGTTTTGCCCCAGCGGCTCAGCAAAGTTTTTTTTTTGCGGGGTGTGCTGATAGCCCCCATGAGGGGAAGCGGATTTGGTGTGCAGCGTGAACGGCATCTCTTGTCATTCGCATCGTCTTCTCGTGAGAAAAAAAAGTCGCGCGTGTGGAGCGTCTTTCAAGCAAGATTCAAGATTTTGCTTGCTCTGCTCGGCGCGTGTTTGGCGTGCCGGACGGATTTCTGCAGGGCGCGTTGCGCTAGAACCGGTATCCAGCGGCTCAGCAAAGTCAGGACGGCATCTCGGTCCCACCGTTGAGGGAGCGCGGCCGGTCGCCGGGGTCGGCGCCAGACCCGACGGTGAGCGGCGAGGGTGCCTCGCCCGCCGCGGCCTCCTGGGGCCCCTCTCTCGGGGGCGGCAGGGGCGACGGCCGTCCCTCCCCTCCGCAGGTCCTCAAACAGCACGAGCCGCCGGACCGATGCGAAGGTTGGAAGCTTGGAAATTGGCACCAACACCAACATCAGGGGTTGCCTCCACGGGAGGAAGATGATCCTGGATTTCGGTGTTGGTGGTAATATTTCGGCCACCTAGAAGGCCCGAAATATTACCACCATCACCTGGATCGGGATCATCTTCCCTCGGTGGAAGCACGCCGCCGATATTGGTGTTGGTGCCAACCTCTAGGCCTCCGAGAAGGCCAGCTGCGTGCTCTGCAGGAGCTCGTGCAGAGCCCCCGCGGGCGGCGAGCAATCGGCGGAAGCCCTGCCGATCGCAGCGATCGCCCCCGCCGGCACTTCCTCGGGGATCTGGTTCACAAGACCTGGTGTCCCAATCGGGGCCGTCGGGAGAGGGGCGGATGGTACAGAGGTTTCTGAGCCTCGTCGTCTCGGGGCATCGCGGGAGAGGTCACACTCTGCCTCCTCAGGAGTGCCGCCCAGCTCGAAAGAACAAAAACGCCGTGGGTACCAACTTCTTCCGCAATCTTCACGTTGGCTTCCCACTTCGCCTTGGCTTCCGCCTCCTCCGTGGCCTCTTCTCCATTGTATGCCTCGACCCGCGCGCCATCCTGAGCCGTAACCTCGGCCGCCGCGTCCGCGTTGGCTTCCTCAAGTGTCCTGGATGGCGCCTTGGCCGCAGCGGATAGCACGGAGTCGTAGGCGCTCTCGTGAACATAACTACCTGATGCTGGAGTCGTCGGGGAACTTCCTACTTTGCCGTAGGACAACTTGTTGTCCCTGTCCGCAACAAACGAGTCTGTGATCGCTGCATAGCACTGGGTGCACATCATGACGCAAATGGCGCCGCCGACCAACAGAACCATAATCAACATGACCAGGGTGAGGTCGACGCCGGGATCACAGCACCTGTACGACTTCGCAACTCCCGAAGCACAGAGATCCTCCTTAGAGAGGTCGCCAAATCATGTCGGAGGTCCGCGCGAGGTGCTCGGGACGGCGAGGGCCGCTGGCGCCAGAGGCGCTGATAGGGAGCGTGCAGGGGGGTGCTGAGTGCCGGCCCAAGGAATCTGCGCGGACCTCCGAAACCTGATGCTTGCTCTGATTTATGGCTCCTCGAGGCCTGGCTCGCGACCCGGAAGCCGTCGGTGCAGAATCCCTCGCACCCCGACTGACAACACTCGTCGGTCGTTCACCTCGTGGGCGGGAAACCATATCCACGGCCTCGCGGTATGGACTCCTCGGCCGCGAAACAATGGAGAAAGGGCGGCTTCGTGGGGATGCGCCGCGCGAAGCGCACCCATGGGCTCGCGCACCCATGATACTTGCCTCGCGCCTTGACATCCAATCCGCGAGGCAGGGACATCAGTCCCCAATCAGCGCTTACACTAAGAGGGTCTTTCTGCTTCCCCTCACGATTCGCATCTGGGTGTGCCAAGGCCTCTGCTTCTGCTGGTACTTCGCCACCGGGCTCCTGTACAAGGCGTTCCTTTGCAAGCGCGCCGTTTTCGGCACCGCCGGATCCCGAGGCTTTGCCTCCTCCTGGCCTCGCCGTAAGGCTGCGCTCCTTCCCTTCCCCCCTCTTTGTTCATTCAAAGCCTCCGCGTCGCACACAGCATCCAATATTCAACACCGCCCCGCTGCAAGAGAGAACCCGTAGGAGTTCTCTTCAAATCGTGGCCCGCTTAGCTTCGCGCGGCCCGCTCAGCTTCGACCGGAAGAGCTGCGCTCTCGACCCGCGAAGCACAAAGGAAGTGAAGTGCGCCGGGGCCTCCGCAGAGGGCGCCCCCCTCCGCCGTGCGCGGGGTGAGCTCCCGCCCACCTCCGCCCAGCAGCGCCCCGCCCCCGCCCTGCCTCGCGCGCCGGCTGCGCCTCCTCTGGGCGGCTCCCGCCGCCCGCCCGCCCGCCGCCGCCCCTCGTGCGGCTGGGGGAGCGGCCCCCTCGGGCTGTTCTCGTGCCCGGTGTTCGCCCCTCGCCGCCGCGTGGCCGCCTCGTGCGCAAGTTCTGCGGCTCCAGGTGCCGGCTCCCTGGCAGCCGGCACCTCGCACAGATCGAGGAGGGAGGGAGGAGGAGGCGGGGGAGGAGGAGGAGGAGGAGGAGGAGGAGGAGGAGGAGGAGGAGGAGGAGGAGGAGGAGGAGGAGGAGGAGGAGGAGGGGTCCGCGATCCATGGAGCTGGCGCGCGGTCGCCAACTCCACGGATCGGGGGGGGGGGGGGGGGGGCCCCCCCCCCAACAAAAAAAGCGGCGCCAGGGCCTCCTCGCTCGGCGGCAGAGGTCCCAGATTGATTTCCCATGGAAGGGGGGCCCGTCGCGAAGCCACGCCCCCCGGATTTTCGGGCTTGCGATCGCCCGAATAGGTCAGGCCCTCGCGGGCTGGGGCCGCTTCCTGCCCACCCCCGCCGCGCGCAGATCCAGGAGCCAAATCTCTACCCCGCGCGATCCGCCGCCCTAGAAGTCAGACGTCGGCCAGCGTGGGGCCCCAACAGAGATGCCTTGAAACCTTGGCGGTGCAGCCTGGGTGGTGCAGTCAATGTGGTGCCAGTCTAGATGAGAGCAACTCATGTGCTGCAGTCTATGTGCAATACAAAGCGATGCGAGCCAATGCAAAGCAGTGCAATGCGATGCGAAGCAGTGCAATGCAACCCCAAGCAACGCAAAGCAATGCAAAGCAGTGGAATGCGATGCAATGCAAAGCACTGCGACGCAATGCGAATCAGCGTAGTGCGAGGCGAAGCACTGCGAGGCCATGCGAAGCAATGCAAGGCAAAACAAAGCAAAGCACTTCAAAGCAAAGCAAAGCAATGCAAAACAATGCGAACCTTGCGATGCGATCGTAAGTGGAAAGCGACGGAGGCAGGGGTATAACGGGGCGGCGGCGACGGACGGGAATGAAGCCGCCAGGTCAACAAACAAGCCTTCGATTGGGAGAAACGAGGCGGCGACGGACGGGAACGGGGGGGGCCTCAGCGCCCACAGACGGCCCCAATTCCGCAGAAGGGATGTCAACACCCCTACGTAAATGCAAATACTGTTTGGGGAAACCTACAATGACAACCAGCTCCGTTAGTCACCCGCCCCGTCACACCTATCAAGTAGTACTCTGCGGAGTACCCGCAATGCACTCGTCGAATGCGACCATGAGGGCAATGCGCACACATGTCGAAGCCATGAGAAAGCCATTGGACTTCTACTGGCGTCAAATTAAAAGGCTGTCAAAGCACGAGTGTTTGTAAGGATTGCAGGGTTTCTGCGCATACTCGCCGAAATTATTGGGGAACATGACGTTGCGACAATGTCACGTGAGATCATGCGGGTCACACGCGGGCGCGTGTCGAAATCCTTCGACAACGATCCCACACCCGCAAATTCTGTCAACAAAAAACGGGTGCAACCCACGCGCCCCCAAACGCGCGCGCATGTCGAAGTCATTCCGGAACTAGTCGTGTTCTGCACACTTCAAAATATAGAGGTGGTCAAACATGTTTGGACAAACCATGAATCGCAATACCAAGATGTTGGAGTTTCTGCACCCGCGCGTACTTCACCATTCCTATCATCAACACAATCGTCATCATCGCCTTCGTCGCCACTGCCGTCGGCATCACCATTGCCATCATGCTCATCGAATTCACCATCGTCGCCGTTACCACCACCACCGTCGTCATAATCACCGTACTCGTCATCGTCGTTGCCAACGGCCTCGCCGCTACAACAATCACCACCACCACCATCACCATCACAATCACCATCACCATCATCACCATCACCATCGTCATCATAATCATAATCAG